GTTGGTAAGAAAATTGCTTCTAAGTGCAACGGTTTACCATTAGCTGCAGAGACACTTGGAGGCCTCTTGCGTTTCAACACAAATTATGAGGAATGGAACAACATACTAAATAGCAATATTTGGGAGTTGTCTCCTGAAAAATGTAATGCAATTCCAGCTCTAAGATTGAGTTACCATTATCTCCCAACTCATTTAAAACGATGTTTTGCTTATTGCTCAATTTTTCCAAAGGGCTATGAATTCCAAAAAGAAGATATAGTTCTACTGTGGGTGGCAGAAAGTTTAATTCCACAAGCTGAGAGTGAGAAAAGAATGGAAGAGCTGACTAAGAAATACTTTGATGACTTATTGTCACGATCATTTTTTCAAAGATCAAGAAATGAGAAGTTCACAATGCATGATCTCATCAATGACTTAGCTATGTCTATGTCAAGGGAATCCTGTTTGAGATGGGAAGGGGGCGAATCACATGAAGTTTTGAAAAGAGTTCGGCATTTGTCGTATGCTAGAGGGCAATTTGATTGTGCTGCGAAATTTGAGCCATTATATGAGGTTAAGCATTTGCGAACCTTCCTACCCCTAAGAAGAGAATGGCATCGGCATTATGTAAGTAAAAGGGTTTTACATGAGTTAGTGCCATCTCTATTATGTTTACGGGTGCTAAAGTTGTCAAAATATGGTAATATTGTTGAGTTACCCAATTCTATTGGTAACCTCATTCATTTGCGCTACTTGGATCTCTCTGATACCGCAATCAAGAGGTTACCTTCCACAGTTTGCACTCTCTACAGTCTACAGACATTACTATTATCATATTGTTCCTCTCTAATTGAATTGCCTGCAGACATGAGAAAATTGATTAACTTGAGGCATCTTGATTGTAGTGGAACACAAATTGAAGAGATGCCGGTGCAAATAGGTAGACTAAAAAGTTTGAGAACATTGACTACTTTTGTTGTGGGGAAATCTACTGGGTCGACTATTGACGAATTGGGGGAGTTGTCCCATCTTGGAGGAAGAATTTCAATTTTGAAGCTTAATAATGTGGTTGATGGTAGGGATGCCTTGCAAGCTAATTTGAAGAACAAAAAAGATCTCAAGGAGTTAGAGTTGGCATGGGGCTCCGAAGATCCCGATCATTCCGAAAAGGTGAGATATGTACTTGACAAGCTCCAACCTTGCATGAATTTGGAGAGATTGACCATCAAACTTTATGGCGGGACCAGCTTCCCAAACTGGTTGGGAGACTCTGCCCTCAATAAAATAAAAGTTATGCGCCTTGAAGGCTGTCATTATTGCTTCGAGTTGCCACCGCTTGGACAGCTACCTACTCTTAATTGTCATTATTGCTTCAAGTTGCCACCGCTTGGACAGCTACCTACTCTTAAGGAGCTCTTCGTATGTAATATGAAATTTCTTAGGACATTAGGTCCTGAGTTGTATGGTCAGCCATTTCAGCCATTTCAATCGCTGGAGAGGCTGGAGTTTAAGGAGATGTCAAAGTGGGAGGAATGGGTACCAAGTGGGAGTGGAGGTCCAGACTTTCCTCGTCTCCAAGAGCTAATTCTAGAAAAGTGTCCGAAGCTGAGAGGAAGCTTGCCTTGTGATCTGCCTTGCTTGAAGAAGCTTAGCGTGGAAGGGTGTGGAGTTTTACATGATCAAAGAGCCACTGCTACTACTAGTACTAGTACTAATCTCAACTACAATTCTCTTCGAGAATTGAAAATAGAAGATGGATGCCAAACAGGTCTGTTATCATTACTAGAGGCAAAACTCCTCTCCCAACTTATGATTAGAAATTTTTATGACATACAATGCTTGCCCAACATCAATCGTCTGCAAAGTTTGAATCTCTGGAATTGTCCAACGCTGTCGTCGTTCCCTGAAGATGGCCTACCCACTTCGTTGACTTCACTACGTATATACAGTTGTAGGAGATTAGAATTCCTACCTCATGAGATGTCGGCCAAATTAACATCGCTCGACTTTTTGATTATATATAATAGCTGTGATTCAATGAGGTCCTTCCCCTTGGCCATTTTTCCCAAATTGACGACACTTACTATTGGCAATTGTGAGAATCTGGAATCGCTTTGCTTGATTGAAGAAG